TTTCTGACTGCAGTTCAATTACTCACTACCTACACACATTATTCCCGTCACGTTGTGAGCGTCTTATATATATACCAGACTAACATATATCTAGTAAATGCTAGGGCATTCACGAAGGTACAGGATAGTTCTAGAAACGTGGCGTGACACTAGCCACGTGACCTCGCTGACGCAACAGTATAATAAAAGCATGGTCAATGTTTGCATATTAGATAAGTAGTTTTTGGACCTCAAATACTACATGTAACAGTTAACCAGTGTCCCTTGAATGGCACATCTGATGGTAGTCTAATCTTAACTAATTTTAAAGAATCTTGTCAACTGGAAATGGTCTGAAGTCTGTTGCACCTTACAGGTGTCTCCAATCATCTTTTCTCTTTGTTTGTCACTAGTTGGTAACAGATAAGAGTTTTTAATTGTCATTACAGACAGACCTTGATAAAAGGTGTTTTTTTAATTGCTGCTCACACATCCATCCATGATAATGATGCTTCTGATACATGGGCTTTGATTATCATGCCTATTTTGAAAGTTGAGTGACCCTTGTTCTTTGCCACTGTCTTTCAGGTTAAACTCAGTATGATTATGCCTCTGAATTTATAATGCATAACTAATCATCTTACACTTCATCTTTCTTATGAAATAAATGAAGTGTTTCAGAAATGTGTGTAGTGCATGCATGGCTCTTATTAAATGGCCAGTCAATGTAGTTCCCTCAATATTGTCAGGTTTAGAAGGGCACAACCTCAAACATTTATATTTAAATTATTGACAATAATTTTCAAAGATCTGTCAGTTACAGTAGACTTAAAATTAATATTATGCTTAGTAAACACATCCACAAATATAATTTCATCATAGGAAACAAGTAACTGTGCATATTTTCTCTCAATAATAAATCAGTAGGTGTTTTCTATTTATAGCTCATATTATTTATATATTAAACACTGTTATACCAAAAGAAGTGTGACATTTCTGTCAGGTAGAAGAATGGTTCTGACCAAAATACTGTTTCTGTGTCAGTTATTGGAAAAACAAAACAAATCATTGTATTAAAACAAGCAAAATGAAAAGCATGAATGTGTCATGAAGGCAAAACATATTTTAGTATTATTATTTTTCAAAATTAATATTATTAAAATGGTGATCTACAATCTGTAACAAAAGTCAAAGAAAACTCTTATGGCAAACCACAAGTATGATGAGGAGTTCACTAAAAATGACAAGCCAAAAAAAAAAAAAAAAAAATAAATTTATTTTACTTACATTAATATGTCCCACGGACCCTCCACATACAGTTTGTAAATGCCTTTGCTCCTTAGTCTTTATATTTAACAGAACAGCAAAGGAACCTGCTGCTATAATAGCTGTATTATGATCTAAGAGTTGAAGGTTTGGTCCTTTGGAACTCTGATATCCAAAACAATGTCTGAATGTATATGTTAAGAATAAAATAGTCATGTGTAATACAAATAATGTATTCTCTGCAAGAGTGATAATAAACAAGTAAAAAAGAAAATAGTTCAAACTAACATTTTAGTGGAAGCATCTTTTAGTAAAGCATAAACTGAATGTATGTCTCTAATGCTTTAACCATTCCCAGGAACAAGTTTTTGTTTATGTGGTTTTTCAGACATTTTTTGTCAATTGCATAAGACAAATATTATTTTTAAACAGCTTTTAAAAATGTAAATAATTTTTGGCAATATAACAGAAGTTAACATTTTCTTAAATTGAAAACATATTTCCAATAATACTTACCTTCTCTTATACTTTTAGCTATTACTCAACTGCCAGGATTTCTTCCTTTGCCCATCTAACCATTGGTCAGATTTTTTCTTACTTGCTCCAGTATTGTATTTTCCACTTCATTGTCCTTGGCAATATTTATCTGTAATAAATCTGCATACAACTCAGACCTCTCCTTGTTACCAAAGTACATCTGCTATTACAGCTATTTATACATCCTGTGGCAAAAGTTTAATTAAATTTTATATTTTGAAGCAAAGATAACATCAAATAAACACATGTAAATAGCCATCTCCAATCACAGTCTTTGACCAATACTCCAGGAAAGCTCAAAAATCACTAACACTAAAGATGAAGTTTTAAATATAGTCATACACTGTATGATCAGGGTAAGGAGAGATGAGTTGTATGCTTAGGACTTACACCCTATTAACACAATTGTTAGAGAATCAACTTAGAAAATAATGTAAGTTGAGGATCTTTGGTTCAAGCTCCAGTTGAAAATAATTTCTTTAAAATTTTGATATATTGTGGCTATATCACTCTATAAACAAGTTGAGCTGATTAAGACATCTGCTCAATTCAATGCTTGTCTCAGCAGATAGCCTAGTATTTTTTGCATTGCAGGCTCAAACTTGATCTTTGATCTGAGTGAAAGGAAACAGGAATAATCAAAGTAGAAAACTGTCTGCTTAGAACTAGAGCTTTACCAGTTTGGTAGAAATTGGACCTAAAAGTTCAGGTGTAAGCCAAAATTTTCTGGGTCTAGCTCCTCTCAAAGTATATCTTTTAACTTGTTGCACAACATTGCTGTCTAAAAAGTGGTCACTCCACTTCTTGGAGACATTTGAACTGAATGAATGGAAATGAAATGATCTATCTTGTGTACTTCACATGGCTGTTAACTCAGTCTTATTTATGTTTGTTTGTATGGCTTATCTTGATTATTCCACATCTATAATGTGCAATAGGGGATATTGGAAAAGTCAGTAAGAGAAATGATCAGCAATGAGCTAGAGTCTTGGTTGTTTGGATGGAAGAGTATCAGTCTTAAAGCAAGTCTGAGTTAAAGCTTATGGTTTGTTTGTTTGTTTTGAATTTCACGCAAAGCTACACTAGGGCTATCTGCACTAGCCATCCCTAATTTAGCAGTGTAAAACTAGAGGGAAGGCAGCTAGTCATCACCACCCACCACCAACTCTTGGACTACTCTTTTACCAACGAATAGTGGGATTGACCATCACATTATAATGCCCCCATGGCTGAAAGGGAGAGCATGTTTGGTGTGATGGGGATTCAAACCCATGACCTTCAGATTGCGAGTCGAGCGCCCTAACCACCTGGCCATGCCAGGCCATATAGCTTATGGATTCAAACCTCTACTAGATAAGGTTTCTATAATGAATCATTACTAAAAGTAATGCAACATGATTAATTAATGGAAACATCTCATGAAGAATATCAGGACAGAAAAGAATATAATAATAAACTTTGTCACATCAAAGAGTATTGTGTATATTCAGTTTTGTAGAACAATCATCAAGTGGTATTTTATTCAAGTGAATTTTATAGTATTCAAAACTATTGATTGAAAAATGTTAACTAATTCTTTTTTTTTTGCTACAAACTTTAAATGATCAGCACTTATGAATCTGCTAAAAATATATTAGGGTCTTATAGGTACTAAAATTATTCACACTATCAAGATGCCAATTTAATTATTCAGCAAAGTAAAATCTGAATCTAACTCATTTAACTCAAAGTGTACATAACATAACCTTTTATAGAATGCCATTCAATATGATATTATGTATTTGATGTCAGAGTTACCAAATATTCATTTTACCATACATTGTTGATTTAGTGACAGAGGATAGTAAATAGAAGATACTGAAACATACTGTAGATATACATTTTGGAGGCTTTACAGGTTATGAAAATACAATATGCAAACTACACAATGGACAAAAATATCACAAAAATCAACCTTCACTCCAGTTTGTCAGAGTCTGACTCAGACTGAAGTTCTCAATTCATAGACATATCTTGAGCAGAAATACTTTTGTAACACATCTAAATTTGTGTGTACAAAAGGCTAGTACATTTTACTAATAGCTTCCAACCAGTGGTGTAGTGAGAGAGTGCAGGGGGGGACACTTGCCCCTGGGGGTTGGGCGAAGGCCACCAAATCAACACCCACTTTACCCGGAATTAAGCTGTTCCCATAAGATTAAGGTTCATTAAAATGTTTTTGTTTTGCTCATCATCAAGTGTTAGTATATCATTAGAAATATCATGCCTAGAGAAATCCCTTGGTTTTCAGTGTTAGATTGATTAAAATACACTGACATCTTATAGTTGATTGAAAATTTAGCAATTTTGTGAATACCTGCATTGGGATTTGGGAGAGGGGGTACCAAATTGTTTTGCCCCAGGTGCCAGACACCGCTTGCTACATTTTGTGTAGGCAAATGTAGTAAATTCAGAATCATACTCAATATTCATTCTCTAATACTGGGTCAGTCCAGTGTACGAAGCCCATGCACATTTGGTTAATGGGCTGGCATATCAGAAACTACTGTGGAACATCAAAGTGTCATTAGCTATTTAAGTTATTCCTATTTTTACATATAAACGTTCAATATCTTTATTCTTTGATATAATTATGACACTTTCTAGTTTCTAGAACATAACTAGTTCATAACCCAAGAATTCTAAAGTAACACACAACTTTTTGAAAGGATACTCAAGAACTATAATGCCAAATTTACTTGTGGGTTTTCTAAGTATTATGAAACAAATAAACAGTATATCAAATCATTACAGACATTTAAAGTATATAATCACTCCTCTTGTACTGTACTAACTAAAAATGCTGGTTTTCACATAATGTTAACCATAAACAAAAAATGTTAAATTATGTATACTGAAGGATACATCATCTCAATGAAATGCTCATGGAATCCAGAATTATGTACCCCAAGCTCCATAATTGGTTTAGTTCCAATATCCTCCAAATTATATTCCATAGCTACAATTCCTTCACCTTCCATTACTGCCATACACTTGAGGTAAGCTGTACTTCTATATTCAATTAACTATTCTTCATGTCAAATTTATCTGTATAAATAAATAATAGCATGTTAGATATATGAAATTATGATAAAAAATTATTTATAACAAGCTTGTAGTTGATACAGAAATAATACTTTAAAATGTTTCTATTTATATTCTAAGGAATTGACTTTGATTCAATATTAATTCATATATTACTACATATGCTAGTCCATAGGCATCATTCATTATACTTGCGAAGAAGAGAGTTTAATTTTTTTGTGTGGATTGTGAAAAGATGAATTACATCATGAAAATGGATAGCTATTCCTTACCGAGACTTGATTCCACCAATAATGATTTGTCTGTTTCTACCTTGTTTGACACTTTAAATTTGAAGAGTAGTTACTTACAGATACAGGTCATCAAGTAAAGTTGAAAAGTACAACATTTCCACTCAGTAGTAACATTTGTCAGCTTGATATTCTACAATTTCAATGGAACATCATTCCAATAACTTTTGAAACCTCTATAGAGTGCATTATAACAGGATTACCAAGACACATTATCTTAATGTATTGTACTTGCATGATAACCCACTTAAAGAACTTCAATAATGCTTACAGCAAACTGCAGAAAGTATTTCAAAGATTAAAAATGAAAGAGAAAAAAAAAAACTTTCAAGGTTAAAAGAAATTGTTTGCAATAGAAGATTCTTTGTTTTCCTTGTTACCTGTAGTTTCATGTACTGCTGTTCAATAACTCATAAGTAGTAATGGAAAATCTTGATCCCACATTTTCTGATGTTCATTCACATTACTGACTAATTGGTTTAAATATGTTTGGTTGTACTTCTGCATTATGATGCCAGAACATCACTTGCAAATGAATCAATTATTTTATGTGGAGCACCTGGGTAAGACAATTGGGCAAGCCTCTCCAAATCTTCCATAAATTCAGCTAAGATTTTTTTCTTTCCTCCATACCATACTCTAAAACTTTGCTTTTGATACTTTCTTCTGGCATGTCACTCTGCTCCAAACCTGTTAAATAAGGCAACTACCAATATTTGAAAGTTGTTACATCTCTCAGCTGGAAGTTTACTTAATGTTGTTAAAGCTGATTCTTTTAATTGGGCAACACAATGAACAGTTTGTTTTTCACTATTCCACCCATTCACTGTGAAAATAATTTGGAAATAAACCTGATATGCCTCCCATGATACCCTTACATTGGTCTCTTGATTGGGCACTGTTGTTAAACTGGCTAACAAAATTATGGATATTGATTTGGTAGTGTCATTGCTGGAATAATCCAGGAATGTCCTGCAATCACAGACAGCTCAGCAGTAGTGATAAAAGCTGTAAACTAAATAGGTTTTCCTATTACACATTTAATAATAGATGATGTTTTAAATTGTAACATTTGGGTAGATGCAGAAAGAGATGTGCATGACTTTATTAGATATACACAACTGTTTCAGTTTAAGTTTAATGCAATAGTTATGATTTGCATAGTTTATATAGCATGAGTATTAAATTTAGTTATTTTTAGAAGCAATACTTTATTGCAAGTTTGTTTACATAACTATTTATCAATCCTACATTGTTTAGTTTAATTGTTGTGAATTGGCAATTTTTATATCATCGCTTCATGTTACTAGAACCTTCTTACTTTTTCTTGTTGTTTTAATGGAGTATTATTGGAGCATAATATCTAGTAGTGTGTGGAATGTTATGGAGCTCTGTCAAGGTATAAATATGCATCAAAAATTTAGTTTGAAAGATAGATCTAGACTATGTGATTGTAAGTTTAGCTATAAGGAGCATATAGTGGCAATTTTTAAAATGAAATTACCATAGATTGTATTGTACTAACAGAGCAGAAATAACAATTTGTATTGTCAAATTGTGTTCTAAAATAACTGAACCAGACTGTGTGGACTTTGACAAAAAATAGATAATTATTTAAAACTCTGGATACAACTGTGATAACCAACAGAGTAACAAACATTTGTATTTATGTTTGACTTGTTTTAGTATATTATTTTAAAACAAGTGGACTGTTTGTTGTTTGTTTATTGTTGAAATTTATCACTAATAAGTCACAGACTCACAATTAAGTTAAAGCCTATTTTGAGCTCTCAGGCTAACATTAGTTCCAGTTTAATTTTAGTACTGATACATCTTTGATCATAATAATAATGATATGTCATAGGCTATTGTTGTGTTAGTTGTATGTTACTAAATTAACAATGACGACTAACGTTAAGTTAAATCCGAAAAAAAAAACAAATAAAAACTTGACTTTAGTTTTAAAAATATAATATTCTAAGTCAGTTGAAATCAAAAGTTATGTTACATTCTGTTACACTCAACTTACACGTTTTTTCCCCTTCTCTTTCTTTCTATCCAGCGAGATCCTTGATAATATGGTGTTTAACTTCAGCAAACCATGCCATACTTATTAAACCTCGACACATTCCCATTGTAAATACAACGTTCCCATAGTAACTATAAACCTACTTCTGAAATGAAGCTCACCTAGTAGAACATAATGGCAGCTTGCAAAGTCCTGATTATACTTCTTTTCTGAAAACATATTTACAAGATTAAAAATAATAATAAGAAGAAGAAGAAGAAAATCACCTAGTTACAGTATTATTTGTATTCTCTTAGTTTTTATTCAGAGTTTATTGTTAAGTGTTAAATACTTTAAAATTATACAGAACAACATATACACGTGATATTCAAAGGAAAACATGTTTGGTTTTGATATATAGTCCTTTATTCACCACCAATAACGTAAACTACTTTATGTGTTTGGATAACATATGACTTATCACCACAATTAATTACCCGTTATTATTCAGCGGACTAACTGGTTATATAGAATTTCTTTTCCTCCACAAAATGTACATTTCAATGAATATAAAATGACGTAGAGGTCTAACCCATATCTTTGATTGCTACTTCTGCCGAAGCAGACTAGTTTCGTTGAAGTCACAGCTCATTAGTGCTGCTTGGAAATCTAAAAGAGAATAACAAATAAATAAAGAAGGTCTCATATAGCGAATCAAAGAATTGATTAGGCCTTTAATTCATCATTCCCTCACCCAAATAATATATTTCTTTGATTGCTACTTCTGCCGAAGCAGACTAGTTTCGTTGAAATCACAGCTTAGTAGTGTTGCTTGGAAATCTAGAAGAGAATAACAAATAAATAAAGAAGACCTCATATAGCAAACCAAAGAATTGATTAGGTCTTTAAATCATAATTTCCTCACCAAAATTCATGTTTTGGCGAGGAAAAAGAAATTCGCAAATAAATAAATAACCAGTTTAGTCCGCTGAATAACAATGGTTAACTAACAGAGGCTGTATGTCACATCTTATCTAAACACCTAAAGTATCTTACGTTATTAATGGTTACTAAAGGATTATTGGTCAAAATAAAATAAACTACTTATATTCCACTATTATTTAAGACCGACTTTATTTGTTTGCTTCGCTTTTCCAAGCAGCACTTATGACCTGTGAATTAAGAGAAACTAGTCTACTACAGTGGAAGTTGCATATCAAACATACTAGGCTTCTACGTCATTTTTTCACTACATTTCACATTTTTATCAAAAAATAACTTTACAAATAAAGAAACAATGCCTGTTACGTTCAATTCACCGCGAATCAAATTTTCACTAGTTTAATTAATATAAGCAACAATTTTAGTTTGCATAGTGCTGTCCAACCAGAAGCTTAAGTTACAATAAGAATTTTTTCTAAGGTTCTAATGTTACCTTAAAAAGATAATTTCAGTATTGTTCGATTTGATGTATTAAATTAAGCATAATGTCACAGTTATTAATGCATAAACATTTAGATTTAAAAAAAAACTTGAGTATAGTTAAAAATAGTATGCATTACCCATATACAAAGTTTATATTGAAAATTAAGTAGATTTGCAATTTCACTAATTAGCAGAAACACCGCCCTATGGGCGGCTGTATGCTCCTTACAGGAGACTGTTTGTTCTTGTAATTAGTAATCGTAAGATTCATACCTCATTGTAAAAAACTGGAAAAAGTGAACATTTTCTAAAAAAAAAAAAAAAATTTCTAGGAAATGCTGCGCGGAAAAGTGTTCAGATTGTGCTCTTTAGTTATACGCAAATCATTGCATTAAATGATTCAATGTACGGAGCTTAAAATTTTCATACATTTCACTGATATAAATTGTAATGTTTTTATATATTAAAAGTGCTACCCTTTATTGGAAAAAATAATAGTTTTTTAAAGAACTCTATTGTTTAGTCCTACATTTAAAAAGTTTGCTTGTTTGTTTTTGAATTTCGCGCAAAGCTACACGAGGGTTATCTGCGCTAGCCGTCCCTAATTTAGCAGTGTAAGACTAGAGGGAAGGCAGCTAGTCATCACCACCCACCGCCAACTCTTGGGCTACTCTTTTACTAACGAATAGTTGGATTGACCATCACATTATAACGTCCCCATGGATGAAAGTGCGGGCATGTTTGGTAGGTTGGGGATTCGAACCCGCGACTCTCAGATTGCGAGTTGTTTTCACTAAGCAATCTAAAAGAACCCGCCAAAGTGACAGAACTACTTATAATAACACTGTAACTCTACTAAGTAATTCAAATATTAATAATGAAGAGAAACTTTCAAGTTTTTAAAAATTGGGAAAACTATCTTTTTCATCACGTGAGTTTTAACCGTAATAATAGTCAATAGTAACGGGCTTGTTACGAAATATATTTTACCCTTTCACTTCTGTACTTCTTTCTTTACAATGTTTGAATATATTTTTTTATTTGTATACTTGTATTCCCTTTGCTGTACGAGTTCGTTATAAATATTTCAGTATTTGCATAACATTGCCGAACCTGCGTTTTGAAGATGCATATTTGATACCTTTAGGCTGGAATATCATTATTACTGTATTTGAGTACCGTAATTGGTCGACATCACCGAAACTGATTATAATTATCTAAACCAATATTTGACAAAAGTTTACGAGTGTGTTCACTTATAACTATCGAAATGCTGGACGAATTATCACCAAACCTGGAATGTACCCTCAGGACTTCTCACATCTTCCATCGTGCGTTTATGTCTAAGGTGCAATTTGATGGACGAGGAAGATTTCCCTAGCTCTAATTTTTCTTAACCCTCGGGGCTGAAATTTCAGTTGTAATCCCAAGGGTGGGTCTAATAAATGGAGAATATTGTAAAATCTTGAAGTGGAAGTTCTAAGCGTCTTCAATTCTAAATACTTTAATTTAAAGCACTTGAGAAACTAAAGATCCAACGGAAATGATTAAACCTGAACATTGCAATCGTTCATAATCCAAAACTATATTTTACTTCAAGATGTGGAAACGCTAATATAAAGGGCGTTAAAAAAAGAGAAGTGTTTTTACTAAAACACATAAAAAAGTCGTTTTGATGATGTTATCTATATACTACTAAAACTCTGAGATTGTTTGTTTGCTTGTTTGTCATTAAATACAGCAAAAACGGCGCACAATTTTGCCATATTTGTAATGAAACGAGAATAGAAACAGAATAAAACAAGATTCGTTAAAATCGGGTGACGCGTTACCCCGTGTTTCGGGTCACTTTTATGAAAATTTTTAGATGAATTTAGGTACACTAGATGGCGCCAAATACCGTTTTATCTATCTATTCGTTTTCCACCTGATGAATAATTTTAAAATATCTTCTATACAACAATATATGCACAACAGAAATTAAATGATGAGATGAAAATGTGTTATAACGGTGCGTAGAAAGAACAACAATAAAATGGACCTATAATATTATTGCCTATTTGCAAATAGTAACTATGGAGAAGAGGTAATAAAATAAAAATGGAGTCGAGAACAACAACAAAATTTTATAAACGAAAACCTCTCGCCGAGCATTGGCTATTATATTATTTCCCTGTCAATGTTCCCATCTTCATTAAAAGGCGTAAGATGACAAAAACAAGATCTTGAAGAATCTATCTATATACTACTGAAACTTTGATTGTTTGCTTATTTTCTCAGTCAAAAAAACCATTCACACTACCGTTCGCGCTTTTTAAGAAATTTCTTACTTCACTTTTTTGAAAAATTAAATAGTCTTAACTTTTACTCCCGATCAACAATCAAATATATTTTCTTGAATTATGAATAACACGAATGGATTGAAATATTTAATTAAATTATCTCAAATTAAACCTTCATTTCGGTGCAATATTGAAATTAGCTTGAATTCTTCATAATCTCTGAATAGTGGTTGACACAACGGGTCACTTTTATGAAAATTTCTAGTACGAGTAATTTTACATCACACTACC